ATCTCTTCTGAGTTTGTCTGAACTGGTGATTCAACAGCTGGTGTGGAGCTCTGTCCTCCTTGAGGGGTGTTGCCGACGCCGATTACGGCTGCGAGATAAGAGCCAGGTTGCGGTGGCTCTGATACCATATCGCAAGGTTCACATATATCTGAGTAATTGCAAGTTTGGAGGTCAAAGTGGAAGAAGAACAATGGAATTCATTATTATGCACGAGAAGGAAAGTACAGCGTATATATATATATATATGTATATACAAAGGTGATGAACTGGAGGCAGTTATAACTGACTCAAATTAGAGAGAAAAAGACTAGGCTGCCCTCCTCTTTTATTTCCCTTCATCGTCTTCTTTATTCATGTAGTCACATTCCAACATAAGTTGGATTAGTCATTGTTTTGTGAGCTTTTATGATAGTTCTTATATCATGAGCTACAACTTTTTTTCAATCAAATCATTCTTCTAGTGTTTTTATTCTTCAACCAGTTAAGAGTAGTATGCCTTGAAATGCCCTAATTTCTTGTAGTTATAGCACACACGTTCAGAAGTATCATCCATATGCGGCTTATGTTTTCTTACCTTTGTGTAGGAAGGATGAATGATATCTTATCGTGCTTCTCTCCGGCTAATTATGTTGAGCATATAATATATATAAACATAAATGTCCAATCTAACAATCAGCTTAGGATTTTAGTTGAGTTGGAGCACATGCTTCAATTTGGTATCAGATGTGTAATCTAACTATCAGCTTAGACTTTTAGTTGAAATGGAGCACATGCTTCATCAATTACCCAATTGTACTTGAGAAACTTCTAGAATTTCTTAAGTTGGAACACCTTCTCCTCTTCCATTTCATGGTTTTTAAATTGGAAGTTGATGTCCTTTTGGAAGATCTCGATGTTGATGATGTTTTGTTTTCGACCAGTGCAATTGTACACTTTTCACTTGTAGCATCTTTTTTGTCTAGTCGCAGAAAATAAATCAAATTCATGACTTTGTAGTATATGCAAATTCCTTGTTGCCTAGCTCTAACATGCATGCACTTTCTTGACATGCCATTCATTTGGCAAAGCGTGGAAGATTTTAAAGTTGAGCGCTCTTTGGTGAATCTCTTTATGCAAAATAGATAGCTCATCCAAAATATTAATAAATTGGTTTCCCTTTGTTCATTGGATTCACCCGATAACATTTTCAAAAAAAAAAAAGGAAAAAAAGAAAAAAGAGTTGTTTCATACTCTTATTTTCCCTCGAACACATAGCTAATTATTATTTTCCATCACCTGCTTAGTTTCGAGAGAAAGCTCAATCAACTTTGAAGATGGTGAATTTGCATGAGTATGTCATTGATTCAATATTTAAATTTACTTTGAAAATATTTAGGGATCAATATGAAGTTTGACATTTTGAGAAATATTTTAACTAAGCTACAAACCAAATAATTTGTTTTTGAAAAAGAGATCAGGGATCAAATATACTTTCTCAACCTACTAAAACACAAAGAATCAATAACGCTTCCATTAAGGCTCGAACTCGCAATCTTCCAAATGAAAATTCAATCCAGGTACCATTAAACCACATAGTCAATCAATTAGTTAGTTGTGAGAACAACCGCTTTGATAACACTTGTTGGTCTTGGCAAGTAAAAGTTTAGAAGGGTGGGGAGGGGGAGGGGGTTCGAATAGATTTTTTAAATTTTTTGATGAGTAATAAATTATCAAAGTGTTTGCAACGGAAGTCTTGTACTTGACAAAGTTTGTTTGAAAGAAAGTGAAACAATATTTTTATTGTAGTTCCAGAAACTCCCTACTCTATACTTTTTCTTAGTACAATGAAGGATTTAATTTCACTAGTATTAATACAAATAAATGTGAAATGTAACTTCCCACTAGTTGCTGATTCGGTCTTTAGCCTACACGCCCAACATTCCCTTCCTGGGATTGGACTTGGCCCGGCCTACACCCCATCTGGGTCTGGGACTGGACTCGGCTCTAATACCAATTGTTGGATCTCAGCGCTGCACTATGCTCACTTTTCAGAGGGTGGGATTGTCGGAAGTCAAGCACGCTTAACCACAGAGTTCTATGGTACCTGGTTGCCAGGTCCTACTTAAAACCAATTGGTAATAAGTAGGTGGACATTAACCATTAACCACATCTCTCCATGGTAAGCCACAACGCCACGTCTCGAATCGAGCAGGGGCTGAACTCAGCCAACCCGGCTGACGCCCAACAGTTATCCACAAAGTCGTCTTGAATGAAGATTATCTAACCTCTCAGTTACCAAAAAGGGATTTTGTCTTAACAGAAACTAAAGTTGGACAAAATCTAAATGATTTTTTTGAAGTTTTGAGTCGTGTATTCTTTCTATTTTCAACAACTTTCAAACTCTTCCTTTTCCGTTGGACGCAATTGACCTTTGGGTATTGGCACCTTATAGGTGAAAAACATCATTTTATCCATAAAGGTAGTTCTATGATTTTTTGAAACATATCTTGAAGTCAGGAGTCTTGAGAAATATGCCCAACAATTTTTTTTTAAAGGAATTCCATATTCTTGTATTAACATATGCCAGATATAATTCTACTGATAGACCTCATATATGCTATTCTGAGAGGATTTACTTTATCCTGGCTTAGACAGTTATGAATTCTGATGATTCTAGTCATTGTTAGATGTTAAGGCATCTATATGAAGACCTCAACACGTGAGTTACAAGCTCTACCGGTTGCTAGTGCGTCTACTAAGACAAGTTGATAGATCTACTGCTTGATCTCACAAGCCTGCTAGAATATGTTGTTGGTTGTATTTGCTAAAAAGATTTTTCGGACGATCTATCAAAATTTGCTTGAACGGCCCCAATAAATGATCTATCAAATTACTTTCGTCAAAATGAAAATCTATTGTACTACAATATGGTGATTGTAAGATTTTTCTAAACAATATCTACTAACTAAACATTAGATGATTAAGTTAAGTCCTATTTTGGTCTTTACAGGTGCCTATTAAACTTAATACAACCAATATAAAGTTGGGAATGCTAAATTTCTTATCTATACAAATATTAATATAATCCAAATCTAAATAACATTATTTCTAATAGTAATACCATTGTTAGACTTAATGAATTTATGGATACAAAATTAATTTTTAACTATATAAATTGTATCTCATTATCTCAATTATATTGGAAAAAAGTTTTGATTCTCACTACTCCATTTATGCCTAACACTCAACTTAGCAGTGATAATAAAGTGAAATGTGGCCATCAATTAATCTAGCTAACTCCTTCATTAGGGAAATAAAGAAGAAATTAGAAAGGCAATTAAGTAGCTAGATAGGTATCCAGCTGAGCCACCATGTATGCCCTATTCGCCTTTCACTCCTTTGAAAGTGAATTCTGACTGATTTGGAATGTCTTTAATGCCTATTGCTAAACTTTAGTCAATTGCAATCACCTCAAAATGCAACTCTCTCTCTCTCTCTCTCTCTCATCTCAAAATGAAAAATTACTTCAAATTGACTTTGATTTAAATATGAGATCTTGATTAATATCATACTTTCCCAACTTCTAAACTAACTTAGATCAAGTCATTTAATATGTGCATCCCAATAAATTCTTTTTTTTTTTCATTACATATCTGCTTAATTAGCTGGCAAATCCTCTATTAATTTGCAAGATACAAAATGTTTTAGATATAAATTTGTGATTTTTTAAAAGTGTTGATCAGTACACAGACGTATTCTGTTTTAGATACAATCATTCACGCTATATTTGATTTTATGCCAAAAAAATACTACATGTACTCCAATTTTTTACTCTTAACTTTTACCCCCCACACAAAATCCTGATGTAGACACTTTTTTTTGGGACCTATATGAAAAAAGTAACCTATCAATACCCGCCACATCAGAGAATAAAATTTAAGAAGTATGATATGAGAGTTTATGTAGTAGAACTCTAAAACTGTCGTAATGTCTTAAAAAAAAAACTGTCGTAATAGTCATTTATTTTTCCAAGTTTAGTAATTATACTCCACAAAAAAAACATATTTGCGTATATGATTCTATTAAATATTTCATCCAAAAAAGGCGATCTTTTACATTTTTGGTGGAAAAGCATGCGTTAAATCGTTATGTACATCATAACACATTTATTGCTTAGGTTGTGTGGCATATCGTTAATGTTAATACAGTTATGTTTATATTATTGCAATCTGAATATTTTTGCAATAATATTGCAATCTGAATGGTTATGTAATTTCGTAAATTCAAACTACAATTAATTATGTTGAAGAGAATTATTTATTTATTTTTTTTAAATTGTCCTTAATCAATCATCACTTTTTACATGAGAGCATGTTCTCACATGAATCATTCTCTATATATAAAATAGGGAAAATGGTCAAATAAGCCATCGAATTTAACTAAAAATTCAATTAGGCCCCTTAAACTTTTTAAAGTAGCAATTAAACCCATCAATATTGTATTTTGGTGCAATGAAGTCCAAAAATCGGTTAGTGATGACCTGTGATCAATATTGCCGAAAATATCATCAGACTTGGCTGAAATGTTGACCGGAACCTTGCTAGTGACCTATGATTCATTGCACTAAAATACAATTTTGATGGGTTTAATTGCTACTTTAAGAAGTTGAAGGGCTTAATTGACTTTTTAGATAAAGTTCGATGACTTATTCAACCATTTTCTCTATAAAATAACATAAGTGTTGCAATAAATGTTTCTCACCAAATTATGTGTAATACATTGTATTTCCCTAATAAATGAGATTATAAGGAAACTTGCAATTTTTATCTCCAAATTATTGAAAAATAGCATTTTTGTCCCTCAATTAATCATTTTATCACGTACTTTTTGTTCCTCATCAATTGTTTGCGAAGTCATTTTTTTAATTCCAGAATTTAATTAAAATTGGGTTAATTAGCTGCTCTCTAAATATTTTAGGGACAAAAAAAGAAGTTACTTTACAAATAATTGAGATATAAAAAATGATGAGCATATACTTGAGTGAATAAAGTACAATTTATATATTAATACCATTTTATGTTGAATTATTTGAAAATTGTATATAATCTATTATAGATTTTTCTAAAAGCTATATATATTTTTTGAAAATCTAAAAGCTATATTTAATTTCATTCTTTAATTTATAGATTGTTATAGATAGATTTTTGCGTGCATGGTGCGGGCAAAAATAAGAGGAGGAGATTATAAATTCAGGATAGAGGGATAAAAATTGATTATTTATGATGGTGGTCACTGATAGCAGGGAGGATTTCAGGCCGGACAGATAACGTTGATTATCTCACCAAGAAGCTGATTAGCCAAGGCATTGAACCAAGAAACCACAAGCCTCTACTCGTAAACCCTACCAATTCCAACCACCCCAAAAACCATACCCTCTCCTCCTCCTCAGTTCCCATAATCAAACCCACACCCATTCACGTTGGTCTTTCCAACCAAGACAAGACAGTGAAGATCAATAGCAGTACTACTGTTAACGTTGTTGGAGGGACGACGACAAATCATCAGATTGATCAGCCCAACAGCGTGGGAGGGACGAAGAATCATCAGCCTACTGGAAATGGGGATGAGGAGTTTAACGTGGATATCCGAGACGATAATGAGGATAATGTTGGGATGGATTTTTGCCCGGACGAGGATGCGTTTTCGACGTTCTTCGATTCGTTGATGAACGAGGATGTGTTCTTCGCTGCTGCCCAAAACAACCAACAATCTAATCATCACGACATTACCCCCCGTCCTCAACTTCTGAAAATAATAATAATAATCAGCCTCTGAATCCTTTCCAACACATGAACTTCCCCTTCAGTACTGCTGGATGGGTTGATGATGATGATGATTTTCTACCATGATTTGGATCCACACCTACCCAAGGAGGGTGGAGCCGCGGCGGCCGGAGATAAGAAGAAGAAGAGGGTGAAGAAGTCATCGGAGATGTACAAGATCTACATCTTCAAGGTGCTGAAGCAAGTTCATCCTTGATCTCTAGCAAGGTCATGGGCATCATGAACAACTTCATCAATGATATCTTCTAGAAGCTCACCCAAGAGGCAACTCGCTTGGCCCGCTACAATAAGAAGCCGACCATCACTTCCTGGGAATTGGTAAATAATGTTGTCTCTCTAAAAGCACTAAAGCAGTCACCATATTTACAAGCTCTTATATAAAACTAGTATTTGCGCACGTGCGATGCACGAAATTGATTTGTTATAATATATTAAGAATATATGAATCAATATATATATATATATATATATATATATATATATATATATATATATATATATATATATATATTTATTTATTTATTTATTTAAATTAGAACATTAAATAATAAATATTATTTAGTACAATGTAATTAAATATATGGTTTGGATCGTTTATATATTTTGATGTTATCATTGCTTGAATTTGTGCAAATAATTACTCAAATTAATAGCTAATGTCTAGATGTACGCATGCGGTGCTATAAGCCTATAATAACTTTGAAGATTTTATTCACTAGTACAAAATGGAGCAAAGAAATATCACTTTAGGCTACCCTTCTTTAAACAAGGGTAGTATATTATTTTTAAAAAAAGGGGCAGTGGCATAATTTTAAATTAGGCAAATGTGCTCGTTCTCTAACAACTCAGTTATAGAAATGAATTGCTACCATTCTTTCCAAACTTCACATCTATGACCAGTTGAGCTGCCCATGCGGGCAATTAATTGCTATCGTTATTCATTTGTATGGAAGATACATTTTTTTTGTCTAGATATATAGCAATTTTTTCATTTTAAAAAATTTTAATATCACCGATTATATTTACACATTATTGAAACCTCTTTGTAAAGACATTGGTAGTGAGAACACAATCTTGTTCATCTTCGTCTAGAGCTAACACCTTCAATCCATCAGAACATGTTACTTGGGTGAAAATATGTAATGGTAAAATATCACTCAATTAGTTATCCTTTTATATTTTCAGTCAATTAGTAATATCAGATTCATTTTCAGTCAATTATTATTTTTTTTATTTTCAATCAATTAGTCAATTAGAATATCAGATGCAGTGATATTTTACCTAATTTTCGTTCCATTTTTAATTGATGATGTAGATATTATTATTGAAATATTTCCGTTCCATTTTTAATTTACAATTACTATTGTTTAAAATATGCATTTACTATTTACCATAGTAATTACACGAAAGAAGGAAAGAAAAATTATTAGAATAATTACCATTAATAAAAATTATGAAATTATATTAAAAATTAATTATATATTAAGGTAATAATCATTTAGTTTGTGCCAATAATATTATATATTAAGTATAAAAATATATATGTATATAGATTACCATAATAATTACACCAAAAAGAAGTAACAATACATAATTATTAGGCAATAATATTAATAATTAATTATTAAGGCAAGTATAATTTATTTTGTACTAATAATATTATACATTAACGGTATACATACACACACACATTAAGTTTATATTATATTAATTATAATATTTGTACATTTTGTACTAATAATACTATACATTATTTTGTACTAATAATATTATACCTTATTTGTTAGTTTAGATCCGTGACTTAGTCCTCGATCTCTATCCTTAACTTCTGTGTTTTTGGTGTTGAAACCAGGGTTCTGTTTCATTTTTCGTATACATCTTGTAATTATCTCAGAGGTATAGAGAGAAAAGAAAAAAAAGAATAACTTCCCGGTTCGGCAAAGCGCTTCGTTGCCTGCGAGGAGAAGAAGAGTCTGATTTCTGATAAGAAAAACACGGGCACTTCCTTGCTGCCGAAAAATTAAAATATCAACTTTGTAGTCAATGTTACCAGGGTCTCCATAAAGGCTTTCTTTATTGATTATTGTTAGTATTAATTAATCAATGAATTCCATTTCCTTTTCTATTTTTTTTTTTTTTTGTAAATTAAGGATTTTTTTTTCTATTTTACTACTAACGTTTTTATAAATCATTATTAGTATTATTAATTGGTAATATTTTCCCTTTTTTATTGTTTGGGTGGGAAAGTAAGAATGAAGAATTTTATTTTTAATAATAGTATAGATTTATATTGATAGATTTATACTTTTAAATTTACATTTAGAAATTAAAAAAGTAGCATTTAAATTTTGTATGATTAGTATAGTGCATAAGTGTATGTATGTATGTATTTAACATTTTTTTTTATAAATTTTTATATTTTGTTAATTTTATAATTTCACTTCCTTAATTATATTTCATATTTTAGTAATTATAATTTATTGAAATTGCCACAAATATTTTCACGGAAAAAATCTTATATTTCTCAATTTCATTAATTATATTTACCAAATATTGTGACAATTACCATAACAATTTCATTAATTATACTAATTATAATATTTGTTCTCTTTCAATAATTAAATACATTACCGATGAATGTGAAGAATAGGAAATGGATTCTCTCCCTAGCCAACGCTCCGAAGAAGATCGAGATCTTCTCAAACGGAGTACTAAGAAACAGAAAGGCACGAACGGGGATCCTATGTCTCTGACGACGAGCGACGCAAGGACAAGGCCGATGGCGGAGGTGGAGATCGTAAAGGAGACACCGATTGAGGCAATGGTGCAGGCTGATGCTGGGGAACCAATGGCGGGATTAACAACACCGTCCCTTTCTGTGCAGGTTATGCCGACGCCACAACGTACGTACGCTTAGAGTGTGACTGGACAAACCGCATCACCCCACCAGCCGGTTGACGAATCAGGAGAGGCTGATCCAATGGAGGATCTGGACGCTGCCAATGATGATCCCCTTTGCCCTACCATTCGGTTGACGCAAGTGGAGCTGGAAGCGATCAGGGCGCCATGGCGGAAAACTCTAATCATCAAAGTGATGGGTCGGCGGGTGGGATACGCTTACCTCCTCAGACGCCTCCAATCGATGTGGAGGCCGAACGCCTGCATGGATCTTATTGCTATTGCTAACGATTATTTTCTAGTGCGTTTTGCTTCAGGGGAGGATCTGGAATTTGCCATGTTCGAGGGACCATGGATGATCATGGATCACTACTTCATAGTGAAACCATGGGTGCCAGACTTCGACCCTTATGCGGATAACACAGAGAAGGTGTTGGTATGGGCGCGAATTCAGTGCTTGTCTGCTGAATATTATTTTCCTGAGGAAGCTAGGCAACAAGATAGGGAGATCGGTTCGTGTGGATCAAGCGACGAGTCTAGTCTCCCGGGGCATGTTCGCGCCGATCTGTGTGGAGGTGGACATTACCAAGCCCCTAATCTCGAAGTTTAATTACAAAGGCCAGGTTAGATCCGTGGCGTACGAGGGCATCCACATGGTGTGTTTTGCATGCGGCATATACGACCATGCAGTGGATGCATGCCCCACTACGGCTAAACCGGCGAGCTCACCTGAGGGAAAATGGGGCGAGGAGACAGTGGCGGATGCAGGGCAGGGTGCGCGCTCGAAGTCCATGCCTCACATTGGCGATGCCCCTTTTGGGGAATGGATGATTGCCCCAGGCAGAAGGCAGCGCGCGAAAGCTAAGCCACCAGCGAAGGCCTCGGAGCAGACGATCGCACGAGCTCAAGCGCCTAAAGCCAAACAAGCTAGCGGTATCCAGGTATCTAGTTTCGCCCCTTTACTTTTGCAGGACAATGAGGATGGGCGAGCCGAGGCAGAGACTGAGGAGAATGCTGCCGCGGAAATGGGGGATGCTCATCGAGTGAGACCAGAGGACGCTGGCAAAGGCCCTGTAATAGATGCACGCCGTGTAGAACAAAGTCGCAAGCCAGTTTCGAAGGAGAGGCAGAAAAGACCTAATGTGATTGCTAGCGAGAAACAGATCGAGAACAACCCAGAGGTGGAACGGAGTATCACGTCAAAGCCGACCGGCTCGTCATCCATTGGCCCGAGAATTACCGGAGGAATATCCAGGCGAGCGGCGGATGCTTCAGACCACGTGGTTGTACGAGGGGAAAAAGGCGGCTTGGTTATCAGCGCAAGAAGGGTGTTCAATGGAGAAGTGTCGGGGGATGTCCCATCGCCCGTTTGGCATCCCACAAGTGAACACCATAGCGACCCGCCGGACCACGTCGATGATGAGGGGGACATTGTTATGGATCTAGAAGCAGATCCAGGGCTGGATGGGGCAAGCGAGGATGGGGGGACACATGAGCGCTCTTCCGGTTTTGTTTTGTCCCTGTTGTTTGGTTTTCTCAGTGTTTGTGGTTTTCCCTTTTATGTCTTTATGAATTGTGTTTTTTGGAATTGCCAAGGGGCGGGAGGCAAACGATTCCTACGCACCCTTAAAACCTTTATTAAGCTTCATAAGCCTTGCATTTTATCCTTATTTGAACCTAAAGTGTCAGGTGTGAAGGCTGATGCCGTTTGCAAACAGCTGGGATACTCGGACTGGGTCTGAGTGGAGGCGGTGGGCTTTAGCGGGGGAATCTGGGTATTTTGGAAGGACCCGGTGAAACTCACGATTCTCTGTACTCACCCCCAGTTCATTTTAATGCAGGTTAGGGATCGCGATGACCCACCTTGGACTCTGGCGTCTGTATACGGGAGCCCGGCTCATAACCTTCGCCGCAGGCTTTGGCGAGACCTGAATCAGTTGGCCCGTAACATCTCGGGGCCCTGGCTCGTGGCAGGCGACTTCAACTTTGTGCTACATGACGACGAGACTCGTAACTATTCTTCCTCCTGCTCCTTACGTAACTCTGACTTTGTTAATTGGGTGCAGGACGAAGGCCTCATTGATTTGGGCTTCTCGGGGCCCAGCTTGACGTGGGTTAAGGACGGGGATAATGTTCATGCCAAAGGTGCTCGTTTGGACAGAGCGTTTGCCAACACGGAGTGGCGTACCAGGTTTCAAGATGCTCGAGTCACCCACCTGGCCCGTGCAGGGTCAGATCATGCGCCCTTATGGATCCAGATTGAGGGCAATCGAAATTTGCAACAGACAACTCCTTTCA